CCGCATGTAATGGAATGTTTGGGTCCGCTTGTAACTGGAGGTACATGTGTGATGCTCAAACCTCTTGGTAATCTGGATTTAAACTATGTGATATCGACCATTCATCGACATCGAGTTAGCATTGCTGGTTTCGTTACATCATTTCTCTACGCTCTCCACGAGTATCTGGAGCAAACGAATCAATTTCATTTACTCAGTTCGATGCGACAAATTATATTTGGTGGTGAAGCTTGTCATGCAGCACGGATAGCACCTATCTTTACCGCATTGTCGCATCCGTCTCTCAACATTGAGCTTGTCAACGCATACGGGCCGGCCGAAACTACCGACACCGCTACTTATCATAAAGTAACGCAACAAGATCTCGATCGAAATATAATTCCCATCGGCAAGCCACTTTTGAACTATGCATGTCACATTCTGGATGAACAATTGCTGCCGATAGCTGTTAATGAGCTTGGTGAACTGTACATTGGAGGCCGGGGTGTGTTTGCAGGCTATTTTGGAGACAATGACATGGTTCGATCGTTGAACAATAACGCTCTTGTCCGACTGCCATTCGAAGAAACATTGTGCTATCGCACGGGTGATTTGTGTCGTTTATCGGAGACTGGAAATATTCTTTATTGTGGCCGAGCTGATCATCAAGTGAAATTGCGAGGTCAACGTTTAGAAATAGGCGAAATCGAAGCTTGCATAATGCGGGTCGAAGGTGTTACTAACTGTGTCGTGATGAAGCAGACTAATACTCGTACTCAACGAGATTTTCTTGTTGCTTTTGCTCAATCGCATGATTCGAACAGTACTAATGATCTTCAAAAAGTCATCATGTGTCAATGTAACACCCAACTACCTGACTATATGGTCCCAAGTACTGTTACAGTGATGGACAAACTACCACTCAACGTGAACGGCAAAATTGATCGTAAACAGTTGCTTGACATCGAGCTTTTGGAGAAGAATACGGGGAGAAACGACGATATGTAAGTTAGGCATTTGTCTTGTCTGCAAAACATCGTGAACGACCTATTTTCCGAATTAATTTTCCTACAGTTCAGGCATACCCAACATATTTCATACATTTCATACTTAAAACTTGGAATTTGAACTTTAAAGTTTCAATTGAAGAATAATTTTCAATCGAAAGTACTTGTTCAATTGAATTCAACTCTCAAGTTTGATACTAATGGGAGATTAAAACAGAGACTGATGCTTTCTTTCAATGATTTATTTCGAAAAGAGGGACCGAAAAAGTATTATGCGGTCTGATTCATTTTTTTCTCACAAAACGATGTCATTTTTTTCAGTTCTTTGCTCTGAAGATAGGAGCAAAAGCTAGATCTAGCAACTCACCCAATACTTACATTTGAATCACTGGCTAAAATTCGCACATAAATTTTTAAAAAATTTCTGCGGTGCTGACACCAGCTAATAATTTCTCTATGTTTAAAAAGGTTACCAAGTTCAGAACTTCAACGTCTAGTTCATGCAGAATGGTGCAATATTCTAGCACTACCGAATTTGTCAATGAACGCTAATTTTTTCGCATCTGGTGGTGACTCCTTGATGTTGATGCGCTTGATAAGTGCTTATCAAACAAATGGACTTGTAAAGGAAGAGAAACCAGACATTATCATCTCACTGTTAGAACGAACTACAATTGCCGATCACGCTAAACTCCTCCAGTTGCCACCATCGAATCATCGCAACATAAAGAAGGAATGGCAACCGCTTCATATGAACAAAGCGATTGCTTCTTCGGCTCAGCAGCGTATCTGGCTTGATGAACAAATTCGTTTTTCAAAGCTACATTCGCCTGCCATATATAACGTCGTTCTGCCATTGGTTATTGCTAGGAACAGCAAGCATGTTTCTGTTGCGCGACTGCAACGTGCTCTCTTCCTAGTCATTTGTAAGCATAAAGTGCTTCGCACTCGAATCCAGTATCAAATAACAGAAAACGGTGGTATCATCGAACAATCTGTCAATGCTATACCACGATATCTGGAAGATGGCATATTTTCAGAACAACTTTGTTACACTCATGAACAAGTGCAACTTGCTCTCACAACCGAAGTCACTCAGCAGTTCTTCTCGCTTAAGGACGGACATGTAGTACGCTGCCACATACTTCGACGACATTCTGGTCTGAACGAAGAGAATTTGACAGAAGGAGATATTATTGTATTCAACATTCATCATGTAGCTTTTGATGGTACTTCGCGAATGATATTCTATCGAGACATCCAACTTGCGTATGAAGATGAATTTGCTTTCTTGGCCGCAATCAACGACAATGGTTTTCAATATATTGATTACACCATCCATGAATCGAGTCTTTTGTTAGATACTTCACCTATATCGCTCATGAATAAGGCACGCAAATATTGGAAATCAACGCTGAAAGACTGTATCGACAAGCGACTTTTTGTTGCAACAGTATTGGCAAACAAAATGGATACCAAAATGATCGGCAGTAATTTATCAGTTGGACTATCCATAGGCTTGTCGTCAACGCTCGTAGTACTCGCTGCTTCCGAAAACATAACGTTATTTCAACTATTTCTTGCGTGTTATCAACTGTTTCTACACAAACTGACAAGTCAAACAGATATCTGTGTTGGCGGTGTTTCAGCAAATCGTTATCGATCTGAGCTTGAACAACTTATTGGTATGTTCGTCAACACTCTTCCATACCGAAACATATTTGATTTGAGTCAGAAGACAACTGTACACGACTACCTCATTGGAGTGCGGCGCTTATGTCTAGATGTGCTCCAACATGGACAATTACCATTGCAAGATATTATTCAATTGCACCGCAATTCTACAGGTTTATATCAATTACCTTTTTTTCAAACGATGCTTCTTATCGAATCATATGCCTCAAATAATATTGCTTGTTCGTTGGATGGAGTACCTTGTAACGAGTTCGAAGTGCCAATGAGCGTCCCAAAGTACGATCTTACACTAGTCGTACAACATAATATCATAGATAATCATATTATATGCAAATGGGAATATTCAACTCAGTTTTTCGATGAAGCAAGTATTGGCGTAGTTTCTGATCGCTTCGTCTCTTTACTTACTCAAGTGGCTGATAAACAAAAACAACAACAATTCCTCAATACTCTTCATATTCTTCAGTCACATGAACAGAAGATGTTACATACACTCAACGATACTCACGTTGACTATGATGAAGGTTATAGATCTTGTATTGCTGGATTGTTTGATGCAAATGCACAACAAGATCCAACGCGAATATGTGTTGCACTTGATGATACAAGACTTACTTATGCACAGATGCGTGATTACTCGAATCAACTTGCTGATTATCTTGTCAATCAATGTGGCGTGCAACCCGGCGATATTGTCATGCAATGTGTTCAACGCAGTATTGACATGGTCATTGGTATTTTGGCAATTCTCAAAGCGCATGCCACCTATTGTGCACTTAATCCAGATCATCCTACCAATCGTCATATGACTCTTGTTGATGACACGCACACTCATTTTATTTTGTGTAATGATGGTACACGCGCAGCTTTTTTATGGACATTATTAAATAAACCGCCGATTACACTCATCAATATTTCTACGTTTTTGCTTCAAAGTTCGGTGAGAAAATCATACTCTCATACGCAAATGCCGAATAAACCAGACGATCGTGCCTATATCGTCTTTACCTCTGGTTCGACGGGTAAACCGAAGGCTGTACCGATTCGTCACTATAACTTTATTGCTTGTGTTCGCGCATGCCAACATTTAAAAATATTTGGTTTTACAAAAGAAACGACATTGCAGACTAGTCAATGCTCGTTTGATGTACACGTATTTGAAATATTGGCCACTATGGTTACGGGTGGTACATTGATTATGCTTAAGCCATTTGGTCATATGGACATGGATTATGTATCACGCACGATTGCTGAGAAACATGTCACATGGACGATTCTTACACCGACTATCACTGCATTTCTTGTTCAATTTCTTCAAGATAATCCAGACTCGGTTGTTCGTATGCAATCATTACGTATCTTCGGATCAATAGGTGCGTAACTATACATTCTTTAACTTGATATTATAAACCTCAGAGCAAGTTGATTAAAATTAACGAGATGTGTACTTTGAAAAAAACATCGGAGTTCAGCAGAACCTTTTTTTTAAGGGTTCTGCTATCGGGTGAACCGTAGAACCTCAAAAATGGTTCTGTACCGCATATAAGATGTTATATTATTTGAGTGGTTTATGATTAATCCTTTCCGATCGGCTACCAGAAGTAATCGATCAAAAAAATATCTTCTAGGTATTTTCTGTCGTTAAGTCATAGAGATTATGGCAATTTATTTTGGGGACTGAGGACGTGACATTGAGCGGAATGCCAACTTGCTGCCGTTTGGCAACAGCCAGCTGTAAAGAGTCAAACATTTGGGAATCGTCAATTTTTTCTCTCTATCAAAGTCATTTTTGTTGTTGTTTTCTATTGACCCTACGCTAATCCGAAACCAAACTATTTCTTTTGGTTCACCTCTACAGGCTAGAGGTGAGATATCCCTCAAATATTCTAAGACTTCGCGAAATTGTGCAAAACTGACCCATTTTATCTAGAAAAGCGCCCCAATTCAGAGAGACCCTGAGAAGTCTTAGAAATTGCTGTAACATCCCACGTAAGAATAAAATAACGGCCTCCTAGACTTCTCAAGATCTCTCGGAATTGGAGCGCTTTCCTAGGTAATATGCGTCAGTTTCGCACAATTTCGTGGAGTTTTAGAATGTTTGAGAGATATCTCATCACTAGCCTGTAAGAGATGAACCGAAAGAAATAGTTTGATTTCGGATCAGCATAGGGTCAATAAAAAACAACAAAAAATTGACTTTGATAGAGAGAAAAAATTGACGATTCCCAAATTGTTGACCCTTTACGGTCGGCTGTTGCCAAATGGCAACATCTCTCTCTCTCTTGTTGTATGAACATACTGAATATTTCATCTTAGTGACGCAATAGATAGTAGATTGGGAGAGGAATATTGACTGCTCCTTGCTCCCGAGATAGAATATTCATACGCACAGGAAAATAATTATTTCGATTTGAGTGCTCTTCTGGTACATGGTGAGAAAAGTCCTCCCCGTCTTCAATGAAAGGTTACCTCTTTCTGGAAAATTCATGAACCTGTGCTACAATGTCTCGTATTAATTATCAAATTATCGAAAGGAGTGTAAATCACCACTTCAAGATCTCGAGGTCTTTTGGCAAAATGTTGCCAAAAGGCAACATCCGGCCGAATAGAGTTAAAAATATGGTATCAAAAAGAGTTATAAGTTCCATTAATATACAACAATATTGTTATGCGGCGTATATCATAATTTTTCTTCAAAGGACGTGGTTAAACTTGCTATACTATTGCTTGTAATAAAACCTTTATAGAATTAGTGAGGTACACAGAAACTTAGTTTTCTCAATTAAAAACTGGGAAAAGATAAGTGATGAAACAAGGTATACACTAATCTATTTGTGTTTCATTGCATTTGATTTCACTTGAAAGTTAAGAGTCAATGGCTCGTATTAATATAGATCGCCTCAGACAGTCAGAATTTTCCTGCGATAAATGTTGAAACATCGCATGATCGAAATCAGATTTATTGACTTTTGAACATGAACTATCCTTTTATGGTGATGTCTGAATAGGTGAAGCTATGGTTCCAAGCACTATACTTAGACTTCGTCAATATTTATCACTCAATACTCAAATCTACAACTTGTATGGGCCAGCTGAGTGTAGTATATTAGCAACGTATCATCTTGTTACATCCGCTAATCTTACTGACGAGTCAATACCAATTGGTGTTCCAGTGTCCAATTATACGTGCCATATTTTGGATGAATATTTATCGCCAGTGCCGATGAACACACTCGGTGAACTATATATTGGTGGGCCCGGAGTGTTCACTGGCTATCTCGGAGACAATGACACGATTCGAGCGTTAAACGAAAAGGTTCTCGTTTGTCCCCCGGGACACAACCAAGAAAATCTGTTCTATCGTACAGGTGATCTGTGTCGTTTATCAAACGACGGAGCGATTATCTATGCTGGTCGCATTGATCATCAAGTGAAAATACGAGGACAACGGTTGGAGTTAGGCGAAGTTGAAGCATCTCTCAGCGATCCTGACATAGTTTGCTGTGCAGTAGTAAAACTTGTGGATGAAGTGACCAACGAGGAATATCTAGCAGCCTATATACAGCCAGCGAAACATGTGCCATCGATGGAACACGGCAGTATTCAGGCACGCGTCTTCAGTCGCTCCAAACAAATACTACCTGCTTTCATGGTTCCCACGGCGTGGCTCATCATGGAAAAACTTCCACTTAACTCTAGTGACAAGATCGATCGAAAGCAGCTACCCAAAATAAGTCGCACAATTCCCATTACCAGTGCTTGGCCACTTGCGTTCTCTGCAAAACCAGAGGTGTATACAGCTAGTTCGTATTCTGTAGCACCACTTGAAGATCAAGTATGTGATATCTTCTGTCAGGCACTTAATTTTCAGATTGACAAAAATCAATTTGAAGTATCGTTCGGTCAACTAGGTGGCACGTCCGTCACAGCAATGACAATAGTAATACTCATACGAAAACGTCTTTATGAACAGATGGATATCAGTTTGTTATTTGAACACTCAACCATTCGACAACTTAGTGCTAAACTTGTACGACTGCGAACTCCTCAACCTAAGCCGATAAGCGAAGCATATTATATACCTATGGCAAACGATACGGTAATCGACAACAAGTCATCAAATGAAGGAGAAGCGAATAATGATAATAATGAAGAAGACGAAAAAGACGATCGTGCACCACCTTTCCCATCGCTCGTACTCGAAACGATCGGCGTTTTTCTACTCGTTTGTTTTTCTTTCTATCCTTCATGGGCTAGTTTGAAGATCATAGCGTTAGTGCCCATAAAAAATCAGTTGTTCACAACGAGTTCATTTGCCACATATCGTGACTACTGGATAACTAGTGTGATTCAGTTTTCTATCCTCTTTTCACTCGTACCCACCATTCAACTCAGTGTTTATCTTATATGTAAATGGTTGTTACTTGGACGCCTAGAGTACGGCGAATATCGTCTGTATTCATGGCATTACTACTGTCACTGGTTTGTTCATCGCATTTGGGTATTAAATAGTCTACAACTGACTGTCATAGTTGGGACACCTCTCTATAATATATATTTGCGCATGTGTGGTGCATGTATAGGTCGCAATGTACACATACATACGACGTTAATTGATACACCAGACATGTTGTCTATCGGTGATCATACTTACATCGCCGATGGTGTGACTCTCGCCAGTTTAAGCTATTATCGAAGAACATATAAGTTAGATCGAGTGCAGATTGGCAGCGATTGCACCGTGCAAACACGAGCTGTCTTACAACATGGCGTTCGTATAAGGCAACATGTACTTGTCAAATCAATGTCATTCGTAAGCGGGGAAGTTCCAGCAAATAGTACGGTCGATGGTACCACAGTACAATTCAACAATCGTGCTTCACATGAAGATCTCAAGAAAAATATGTCACTAAGCTGGATCCAAATCGGGTATCAAGGTCTATGCGTGTTCATCGTGTTTATTCTTCGGATGATCGTGACATTAACTGCGTTCGCCACATATCTTTATCTTTTCCCTAATATATCCACAATCTACTTTTTTGTTTGTCTACCATTTCTTTGGATTATTGGTTTATTTTTGGATGTGGCTATGTGCACTTTCATCCTTCTAATTATAATAGGCCGTGTACGCGACGTTACCAGTTATCCTGTCAACTCATGGTATATTATTCATAAACTTTGGTTCCGTCATTTAGTGGTGAATACTCTGGGAAAATCGTTTTCTATTTTTAGCCTCTACCATCGTATATATCCGGTGTTTTTACGTTGGTTTGGTGCTCATCTGGGCAGTGACGTCGATATTGCTGATTTTAATATGCTACTCAATGGACCATCAAGTCTGATCACGGCTGGTAACAACGTTACGACGAATAGTGCATGTTTAATCGCACCCGTTGATGTAATCGACGGTAAGTGCACAACGCGGCATGTTGTCATTGGTGATGGAGTCACACTAGCTAACGTGGTCACTATTGATGGCGGCGCGCAGGTACCGGATCGATGTTTAATAGGTTCGATGACACGCGTCAATGCGAATGAACAGTTTGCGAAAACAAGCATTGTGCTCGGAGTGCCGGCACGTGAGCTTCCCATATCTAATGAGGCTGCTGCCGTACCTGAGAAACAGTCTCAACATACACTGCCGCGTTGTGCACGCATCTGGCGAATCTTTAACAAGAGCTATCTTCAAATTGCAATGATCACCGCGCTCAGCAAGCTCTTGATAGCAGCATGTGGTATATGCTTCATTGTATATTTTTTTCTCGACAGATATTCCAGTCGTTTGACACTGACCACCATTTACCTTCTTCTCCCTTCACTATATCTTTTCTTCATGGTACTGTTCTCTATAGCTTTTTGCTTGTGCTATCGAGCATGTAATCGTGACATTTGGCAACGAGGTGTGTTTCCATTTGAGAAATTGGTCACATGGCGACGCCATCTCATCTGGTCTATCATGACGGATTATAACACGTATGTAGCTACCTTTCTAGGTGGCACTCAATGGCTTGTTTACGTATTTCGTGGTAGTGGAGCAACGATCGGTCACAATGTTATTCTGAGCGACTTTTACAATTTGTTAGATCTGCAGCTTATCACAATTAATGATTGTGTACGCATGCATAGTACTGCTACTGTGCAAGTAAGTCTTCCTTTACACAGTGGAAGTCTTAGATAAAAAAAAATTAACAAAAAATTCATGATATTGTTCGTATTTTCGAGCCATTTGTAATCTACTTTAGACCTTGCTAATTATCATGCGTATTATAATAGAACAGATTATTACCTCTAACGGAAAAACATATCCTAATGTCCGATCAGTAAAGGCATAAAAGAAATAGTTCCTATACATTGTCTTTTTGAAAGGATCGTCATTTTCAT